TCTTTATCTCTGTCTGCAACTGTATGACAAAGGGAGCCATCAGCTTGCCGCTTTTAATCTATTAGTATTCCTCGGGAAAAATGCTCTTTTTTTGTTGTTGTTGTTTTTTTCTTGTAGAACTCATTTATTGTGTGGAGTGTCTTTTGTAGCACAATGCTCATGATTTGCTTTATAGTGGGGATCGAGCCATCAACCTTCCAGTTTTACCATCCCTAAGACTGAAAAGATTGTACAAAAATTCATAATTTTGTCATTATTTGCTCACTCCCCCCCTTTTTAAAAAAAAATGTAATAGATGCTTTTTTACATCTAATTGAGCTTTCAAGCCTAAAAAAGAACACAGAAGTCATAAAAGTGATCCATACAACAGTATTCTGCCATATCAATCGCAATTCAAATCTTTTTTGTATTATTATTATTATTGCAGTCTCTTGAAACAGTGAACACACAATTAAAAGTCAAGTCAAGTCACCTTTATTTATATAGCGCTTTTAACAATACAGATTGTGACAAAGCAACTGAACAGCATTAATTAGGAAAATAGTGTCAATAATGCAAAATGACAATAGTAAACACTCATTTTTCAGTTAAAGACAGTTCATCATTGAATTCAGTGATGTCAACATCCAGCTCAGTACAGTTTAAATAATATCTTTGCAATCATGCCAACGATAACGCTGGAAATGAAGTGTCCCCAACTAAGCAAGCCAGAGGCAACAGCGGCAAGGAACCAAAACTCCATCAGTGACAGAATGGAGAAAAAACCTTGGGAGAAACCAGGCTCAGGCGGGGGGCCAGTTCTCCTCTGACCAGACGAACCAGCAGAACGGAAGAAAACAGGCCTCTCCAAAAGCAATTATAACATATCAGTTACATCAAATCAAAAACTAAGCCAAACAAAAAAAATAAATAAAGAATGAAGCTTATTTTGTGCATTATAAATCAAAGGACAGATTTAAGACTTCACAGTCTTTCATGATTTGTTGTTTCTCTTTTCTGGTGCTGTTTAAAGGTAGTGACCTATTTGTATCTTAAAATTAGTAAAAGTTTTTTTTTTGTTCAATTCCCATTTACATTTGTGGATAAATAATTAGGCCTATACTGTATATAATTCTCATAATACACTCTTAAAAATAAAGGTGCTTCACGATGCCATAGAAGAACCTTTTTGTCTAAATGGTTCCATAAAGAACCTTTAAC